GCCTATGCACCCTGAGTAATTTTATATACACCAAATACATTACCCATGTCTGCATGTCTCTGGATTGTGGGTGGAAGCTAGAATAATCTGTGAAAACCCATGCAAACAGGAGAAGAACATACAGGGACAGTATTCAAACCCCCAACCCTGGAGGTGTGGGGCTATAAAGTTCAACTTTATTGTAATGTGTACAAGTACAGTGTACAGAGTACAATAAAATTCTTACCTGAATGTCCTCTTAGCAGGCTAGGCAATCACAAACAGTGCAAAATTACAATTAATACAATAAACACAGCTAAATACTGTACCAATCCATTTTGGAACATTGGGACTATGTAGGATACGTTCATACCTCATAACACTTATGTTCCTCTCTCTTTACAGAATAAAAAAACGAGTGACAACAAAAGGTGAGGCTGCGTTGTCATCAGGTGCCTTCCTGCATATCAAGCTGCATTGTAATATTTTATGGTATTGCAACCACATGACAGAACAAGAATAGACAGTAATAGACAGTAAAATGCCAGTAATCTTTGCTTAACCACTTCTCAAAAAGCACAGAATGTAAGGCAGGGGATTCCTGTCCATAACTGATCACACTCTCAATTTAGAGACTCCATTTCTGAGTCCATTCGGTATGCCTTTTGACTGTGAGAGGAAACTAGAGTACCCAGAAGAAACCCGAATGAATAAATGTTTCATTATACATGTTAGAGCTTTTCAAGACACCCAAAGCGCTTTACAGAACCAACGGGGAGCCACTTGAACCATGACCACTGTGTAGCCCCAGTTGGATGATGCAACAGCAGCCATTCTGCACCAGTAATGCCACCACACAGTAGCTAAGGTGGTGAAGGGGCAGGAGAGAATTCAACATGTAGATATAGGGGATGATTTGGAGGCCAGATCTGAAATGGCCTCAGTGGGCAGCTATAGGCAGGATATCAGGGTACCACCCATACTCTATCAAAAGAGGCCCAGGGATCTTCTATGACCTCAGAGAGTCAGGACCTCAGTTTTACATCTCAGACGGAGCAATTTTTACAGTGCGGTGTCTGCATCACTGCACTAGGGAATTGGGATCCATACTGACCACAGGATGGGCTAATCTGCTGGCCACACCAGCACCTCTTCCAGGAACACAGGGAGAACATTCAAACTCCACATATCTGGTGGCAGGAGACGCTGGAGGTGCACAGAGCCTTAGCAGCGCCCCCCAACTGGTTCTACAGAATATAACTACCTCGGTGTGCCATGTCGCAAGGGTTAAGCGTGAGTCACTAGGATTCATGATGGCTGTGTTGCACTTTTTTTAAAAGACTCTCAAAAGACTGCAGGACAATTTGAAGCTAAAACCAGGATCCAGATGGTAACACTGCTTTGGTGTTAATGGCTTCCCAAAGTGCCACTGACTGGTGTATTTCAATACGATAGCAGTTGGCAATAGTGGATAGAAGGAAAGAAAGAAAAGAGCAAATCGATGGGTGGGAAATCAGCGCTTTTTCACGTAATTAATAAAACCAACATAAACAGTTGCATCATTTTATTTTTCTTTTTTTCTGTTTTTCTTCCTGATCTGAACATCGTGGTGTTTGTTGAACCCAGGAACAATGCCACTGTTTCTTCTTGCCCAGGTTATTATTTATTGCAATTTTTATACACTTAAATAATTTTGTCTAATACCTCAGTTTTGCATTTATCTGTTACCTTATCGGCTGTTTTATGTCTTACTAACACCTCCTAATAAGAACCTGTCTTCGCTGTACAGCAGGTCCTTAACCTCTGTGTGACCCTGCTCACTTCTGATTAGCTTTCTTTCTGTGTCCTTTTGAAGAAAATTTTATTTGTGTGCATTCCATGCCATAATATTGTTTCCATTCTGCTACTCATTGATAGTTACTACATTTTTAAGTGTGCTACCATTTTTATATTAATAGTTTGAGCAATGACATCTACATCCTTCTGCTTTTGGTCCAGAACCCTCAAGGGAGAACATCTGTGGTTCTAAGACCTACAACCCCTATACCCACATATGCTGCGAGAGTGAGCTGTTGAAAAGGAACGTTGAAACCAGGGTAATGTACAAACCCACGGATTATCATGATCACTTCTGATAACAGGTGTCACCAAGCACGATGTTCTCATGATACTCTATGCTGATTGAGGGGGAAAAAAAACCAATTGATTGTAGAAGCTTGCATGCATTGATTTGTTTCCCAAAAATGCTGATAACTTGGCAAGGAGGTAGAATGTATCCAATAGGCAACTGAGATTCTACTGAAATTCCTGAACCTTGTAGATCTTTAATGACTAACTGGAGATCAGAAAAGTGAGGACACTAAAAATCAGTTGTAGTTATGCTTGTATTTTGGAGGGGTGGTGTTCTGGGTCAATAGTCAGCTTCCAACATTTTGTTTCCTAGTTCAGTGCTTTAAAGCAGACAGGTCAAATTACTTATCTTTTAATCTTTGTTGTTTTAAAAGATCTGTATTTCTGCTACACTGTCAGAAATAAAGGGTACCAATTTGTACCTGTGTTTGTCACTTGGGCTGTTCCTTCAAGGGTCTGCCAATTGTACCATGTAGCTGTACGTAAATGTATCTTTTAAGGTACAGAAATGGACTCTGAGGAACATCCCCAAGGTACAACCAATATGAATGTACTGCCAATGGTACAAATGTCCCTCATTTGCACATCCAGTCAAGTAAGATTGATTGTACCTCTATTGATGATACCACTGGGTTAAACACATTGGATCAATGGCATTAAAAAGTCTGCCTAGCAAATACTGAATCAAAATGTAGTTATACAGTAGCTAGCTACCCTGTAAATCTGTTTTACCGGTAAATGCAAGCTAGCTAACACCATTTCATTGACAATTTAACCTTTGGAACCCCATTGCTGCACAATACATTGCTTGAGTTAAAAACAGTAACTCACAAACCATTTGATGCACAGCAATCATACACATACCATCAGAATCACGAATCCAAAGGTGCCAAACTTGATGGCACTAATAGTGATGTCATTGTGTAATGAACTGCTTGTGAATAATTAAATTAGCATCTACATCAGGGCTATTCAATCCAGGCCTTATTTTCAGTTCTCCCAGGTAGTTAGTTTAATAATTACTGATTCTGATTGGCCAGAGGCTTCACACCTGACTGACAGGTAAAGGAAGGCTGGAAAACATGCATCTACATGTTGATATCCATGGCTGAGTTCCACAGCTTGCTGAAATAGTTCGACTCAGCTCATTTATAATCGACAAAACGCCTGTTATAACCTATAAATAGCAATACAACGCAGCATAAAACTTGAAATATCTCCATAATTCCCCATGGAAAGTTTCTAGAAATGTACTGGAAATTTTCCGTCCCTTTGCAGCCCTAGTGCTGACATAAACATTTAATCTCTGTAAATGTTGCATTGTTGATATGATTACAAACAGGAGGAATTGTTGGGAAACCTGATAGCAATGTGGAAGAGACTGTTCTTAAAGTGTTCTTTTTTTGAGCAAGCTGAGTGGGTTCCGTTAGGGAGCAGCTGAACCAGGCAGGGTGAGCTCCCCCATAATTGTTTTGTGGTCCCCCCATGGTCCCGGCCCCCCAGGACTGGAGTTTGACACCCCTGATCTAAACACTCAGGAAGAAAGGGAAAGAGGCATCTGCTGGCCAAACAGGGACATGACAGATATAAAAGGCACAAATCCTGATATTGAAAGACGAGTCGTTCATTTGTCGAAAGGGCAACACCAAAGATCTTTGAGGTCTTTGTGACAATTCGCTGTAGTTTTTTCTTAGTGATAGAGTCTGTTCCACCATGCCAAACTGTAATAGAACATATCAGGATGTGCTCTGTGATGGAAGGGTTAGGGTTATACAAGGTGACGACAACACCGGATGTTTTTTAGTTGCCTGAGAAAATTTTGCTGGTTTTCCTTCTTCATGAGGTGGTGAGTCGATCTGCAATTTTACGGCTGTAATTTGCTGACGTTGATGCAGTGTGGTGCTCTGGAAGTGCCTGAAGTCCACAATGATATCAAAGGCTTTGGATGCATTGAGCTGGAGCTCAATGTCAGTGCGCCAGGTGACTGCCTCGGGGTCAGGGTAGGTGGGCACGCAGTGTTGGGGTACTCCAGTGCTGATGACCAGGAATGTGGACAGTAAACTGTTAAGGCAGCAGCAAAGAGGAGCATGAACGCCCATTCTTATTAATCTAATGAAGCGTGTGAATGGGTTGACAGCATTGAAAGTTGCATGGGCTGGTGTGTATAGGTATTGGGTGTCTTCAGGTGTTGCACAATGTTGTGCAGTGCTAGACTGATGGCGTCTTCCACAGACCTGTCAGGGCAGTAAGCAGATTGAAATGAGTCCAGCAGTGAGGAAATACAGGATGTGAGATGAGATAGAACAATATTTTCAAACACCTTCATAACTGCCTGCATTCAAGCAACAAGTTATTATTGATTGAGGCATTTGGGTCTGGAGGATTTTGAGATAGGCGTTACAGTAGCTATTTTAAGGCATTGTGGAGAGAGTGCTTGAGCACTGTGATTAAGTACAGTAGGGGTTACATTGTCAGGAAGTGCAGTTCCCCTTTTGTTCAGCTTTTTAACAGAAGTTTGCACCGCTTCCTTTTCCTCTGTGTCTATAAAAATATGCAGAATATTAGGCAGGATATCAAACGCATGCTTTGAGAATGAAAGGTTGTACTTCCTGTGGTCGTACTTCCTGTAGAGTTTTCAATGACGGTCTATTATAGATTAAAAACACCATGAATGTGTACTTTCTGTAATTAGAGACAAAAACAAACCATAAATAAACCATAAATATGCGCTTCCCGTAGTGTTCAAGATGGGAGTACATTAACCGATAAAAACAAACCATAAATATGTGCTTCCCTGCAAATAGTGTTTAGGCAAGGAAAGGCAAATATATTCATGGAAAACATGGCAATTCAAAATGCTTTACAAAGGCACAGGGATACATTACAATAGAAAACACTAAAATCACATTTAAAAGACAATAAAAAACTGAAAGCCAAACAAATAAATAATTAACTAAAAAGAAGTTACATTATAATGGCAGTGTTTGAATAAACCTGCTGATTTAATTTATTGAAAAGCTGCAGCAAACAGTAATGTTTTAAGGCCTGATTTAAATGAGCTGACAGGTTCTGCAGACCTCAGGTCTTCGGGAAGCTTATTCCACAGACGGGGAGCATAGAAACTAAATGCTGCTTCACCTGTCTTTCTCAGATGACCTCCGGGGTCTGGATGCTTCATACGATTCAAATAAATCAGGAATGTATTTAGGCCAGAGACCATTTAATGCTTTGTACACAAGTAATATTTTACAATCAATCCTGTGATGCAAAGGAAGCCAGTTCAGTGATTTAAGGAGCAGTGTGATATGCTCTGCTTTCATGCAGTGATTTAAGGAGCAGTGTGATATGCTCTGCTTTCATGCAGTGATTTAAGGAGCAGTGTGATATG